GAAAGCAAATCTTCCATCAATCTGGCCAGTGTATGCGTTATTATTGTTATTATTATGGAGTATCTCAAGACTGGCACTCACCCTGGCCTGGCCGAGCCCCCCTAATGGTCCCATAAATCCTGGCCATAAAGAGTAATGGGGGGAGACAAATGGGATAATTAGGAATAAATCTCACCGAGGTCTCTATTCATCAGCGTCCCTGGAACTGGCTGATCTTCCGAGCCATTAGCCAGGCCCCTAATTAATGCCGCGCTGCCCAGCTTCGCAGAGGCTCCATGCCTGGGAGGGACTCAGGCTGAGGGGCACCACTGCCCTCACAGCTCATGGTGGGTGACCTTGGTAGGAAGTGAGAGTCAAGTGCCCACAGCCTGCCTGTCTGGACCTTACTTTGCAGCATCCTGACTACTTCACTAGCTCTTGGCTTCTTTTTCTTTGGTTTACTCCATCTCCCCATCTCTCTTCAGTCCTTGTTTTTCTCTCTCTGATGGCCACTGTCTTTGTCACGGTTGATCCATGGAAGGTCTCAGTTAGAAGGGGCTATCTGTAACAATGCTCCACCCTCTGGGCTTTCTGCCACTCTGTCAATACCAGGGCAAGGACCCCAGTGCCCCAGAACAGTCTTTGGAACAGGGAGGGCCACACATGCTGTGGTAGTCAGTTCCTTCCTGGTTGAGCATGTGTTCTCTCTCACCTGGAGCTGGGATACGCTCCCTGTTTGTCTGCCTCTTGGTCTTACCTCCACCTGCTGGATTCTGAGAATAGGCTCCCTCTCCTCCCCGAGCCCTGACTTCTTTTCCCCAACCACATGCCCTGAACTGCAGCTGGCTACTGGAGGTTTCCAGGCAGGCACCCCCACCAGACACTGTCCTGCACGCCTGTGAAAATCTAACCGTCCAGCACTTTCTGTTGTTTTAATCTGCCAGCCTTCCCTTCTACTTTGGAGTTTTCCCTCCCAAGGTTCTCTGTGGTTTAGGCCAAATAATCTACTTCCCCAGCCACAGAGCTGTCAATGATTTTGTGTAGCCAATCACAGTCCTCCACCCCCTGGCACAGCGATTGGTCCAGTGATGAGTCTGTAGGGCATGCTGGGGCAATCAGAGTCTTTCTCTGGCTTTTAATATAGGGCAGCCATGATGAAACAGAGACCATGGCAGGTGGATACAGTGTGTCTGCAGTTATGTGGATACAATTACTTTCTGCAGTAGTGAGGCTGTTTCCGGAATAAAAAACAGGCCTAGAGATGGCAGGATCGAGAGGTGGCCACAGGGTCAGGAAAACAGCGTCCCATATCATGATCCTGCTAAACACAGGAAAGTCAGAACTCAGAAAAGAGCCCCACACAAGAGAACAAGGGGTGGACTTGCCATCTCTGCCCTCACAGCTCCTGCCTGTGGCCTGGGGCTCCAGTCCCTGCTTCTCTTATACCTCTCTGCGTGGGGCCAGTTCTGAGGGCAGCCATGCTGCTTTCCCAGCTAGAGTACAGACCTGGTGCCCTTCGCCCAGCTCCAGTGGGACTGCAGCAGTCCTGAGAGGCTCAGGGACCCGCCCCTGTCCTCCACTGCTGGCTTATCTACCCAGTAGCTGGAACAGACCCTGGACTATGACTGGCTGTGGCCGGGGGTGGGCTGCTCAAAGTTGTCCCATTCTGGCCGCTCTGGAGCCAGGGAGTGGTGTCCTGAAGCCCAGTGTGCCCAGCTCTGGGTACCAGGACAGGGAATGCCAGTAAATATGGGAGGAGGCTGTTAGGGATGACAAGCCAGGAGGGCAGACTGACCACCCTCCTTCACAAACAGCCCCTGCCTCAGTGGCAGAACTCTCAGGCGTGGCACAAGGTCACTGAAGGTGTGGCCAGTGTCAGCTTCACATGACCTTACCACTATTTCCTATAAGTATGGGAATTGTCACTTCAGGGTGGACAACCCAGTGGGCCTTTAAGAAGTTCTCTGGGAGCAGAACTGATGGCAAATGCCAGTAATCTCAGCTACTCAAGAGGCAGAGGCAGAAGAATTGTCAATTCAATGCCAGTCTGGTCAAAGATAAAGGTAGCAAGACCCTGTCTTAAAGACAAAAAGACTAGAAGCATGGCTCAAATAGTAGAGTGCTTGCCTAGCGTGCTTGAGGCCCTAGGTTCAATCCCCAGTACTGCAAAAACAAAGGACAAGAAAATGTCCTGGGCAAATGTGAGCACATAGGAAATCCAAGGCCCAGAGAGCAAAAAGACCTCATCCCTGTGGCCCATAGCAGAGCCAGGCTGAGAACTGTTACCTGGCACAGCCCAGCTGCTTGGAAAGCAGAAATGGCAGCCAAGTAGGTCCTGAACTTGGGCTCTTTCCCAGGGAGGCAATTTGGGCAGAGTGGGCAGGTAGGTGGGTGGCCTCTAGATGAATGTCATCTGCTTCCCAGCAGGGATGAGGACCACTTGGGTAAAAATGGGAGGTGGAAGACAGGGCGAGGGTGGGATGCAGGGGGAGTGGACATGGGCCTCTGCAATCCTACCCAGGCTCTGAGATGTGAAATGTGTATGTACAGATGTGTGTGTGTGTGTGGTGTGAGTGTGTGTGGTATGTATGGCTGCTGGGCGTGTGACTGTATGGAAGGTATGTGAGTGGGTGAGTGCGGTTGTATGAAGGGGTGTGTGTGTGTGTGTGTGTTGGGGGCTGGCAAAAATCCTTCTCACGTCCTGCCCCACCAAGCTCAGGCTCTCAGGTTTCAGCTACTGTCCTAAAGAAAACAGCCCAGGGCCTGCAGCAGGAAATCAGTGTTTGGATTGCAGAGGCGCCTCTTCCTGCCATGGCCAGCCATCCATGGAGGAGGAGGTCCGGGAGGGGCTTCCTGCTCACCTGGCCCAGATGCTGAGCTGCCTAGGAATCCTCACCCTGGTCCTCCTGGTCTCCCTCACATCCCTTAGCCCCTGGCCTCGAGGGAGAGTTGAGGCTGAAAGACACAGGATGTGGGAGAGGTGGGCACCCCCAGGTCACATGCATGGAAGCTGGTACACCTCACACCATTGCATAGTCTCGTCAGTGTTACAGATACATGCACCTGTGGGCTCAGCAATGCCATTTTCTGGAATATTCTACCACAATAGCTCATTCATAAAAAGGGTATGTTCACACAGCCTTGTTATGGCAGAATGGCTGGGAATGGAGAGGAGCAGAGCCAGGTCACTGGGTGATGGCTCATGGTAGCTGTGCATCTTGCCTGTAAGGAAGCTCCCAGATGTCTGGTCAATGATGAGACCACAGTGTGGCACAATGCGTATATCATCCTCACGCTTTTACAAAAAACCCCAGAATGTGTAAATGCTTGTATACTCAGATTGGAGGTGTGAGGCTTGTGCACCTTGGGCATTCAATAACTAAATAAAAATTATAAACAAATGAACACGGGAGGCCTGGGGCTTCCTTCCTTCCCTCCCTCCCTCCTTCCTCCCCCCTGAACCATTCTAGCCATTGTGCCTGGAAGTGCCAGCAATAATCCTGTGTGCCTACTTTTCAAGACCTTCCTTTGCTGAGTCTTCTCCTCAGGACACCCCAAGATCTCTACCATGGGACATTTTCCTGTTCCCCAGGTCCAGGATGGGGGGGGCACATAACCTGCCGACTCCCCACACCAGCATCCACGCTCCTGGGCACAGCCTCTGTTTCTCAGGTCTGCCAGGGCTGGCCAAGCCCTCCTCTCTGCACACTGAGGGCACTGGATCCATGGCCTCTGAGGCCCTGAAAGTCCTGACCCAACTTCCTTCTTTATCAGGTCCCTGACAGCTGACACTAGGGAATGTGACACCCACTCAGGCCATAGCTGGTCCCCCAGCAAAGCCCAGGTGCAAGTCAGGTGGTGTGGGCCTAGGGGGGACCCCTCTCTGGGCACCCTTCTGCCACTGACATGGAGTCACCCTGTGATTTGGAGCGACTTCATAAGAAAGTGTGGAGAAGCTGGAGTCAGCAGATTAATTAATCAAAACCCGAACACATCTGTTGTTAATTAATCCTCTGCCAATGCCAAGGTTAACTCTTCCCCTTCTGGGTGGTCCCTTCTGAAAGCAAAGGGACGGGTGGGGAGGGGTGCCCTTCCTCCCCTCCTTTGGGGAGCATGAGCCAGGACGAGAAGGTGAAGGTCAGGGCAGCTTTCTGGGATTCAGAAAGCAGAAGAGGGGGACCCAGAGGGCAGGGCAGTCTTGCTCACATGGTTGCATTTTGGGAGGATTGGACAGTGTTTGCTTTTAGTCTTTTTTTGTGTGTTCGTGATTCTAGGATTTGAACTCAGGGCATACACCTGGAGCCACTCCATCAGCACTTTTTTGTCATGGGTTTTTTTTTTTGAGATAGAATCTTGCAAATTATTTGCCTGGGCTGGCTTTGGACCTCAGTCCTCCTGAGTAGCTAGCATTACAGGCGTGAGCCACTGGGGACAGGCTTACTTTTAGTCTTGAGGTCTATGGAAATGGATCATGAGTCCCAAGGAAATCAGAGATGGACAAATATCTTTATTTACAGCATCAAATAGAACAGACCCTCCTCCATCCCTCCCCTCTTCCAGTCTTTCCCATACTGTTCCCCACTTCTGCCCCACCCCAGACCCAGGCCTGCCCTCTTACAGGTCACCGAATGGGTTATGGCTCCACCCAAGAGCGCAGGAAAGGAGCAGGAAGGGGACAGGGCCTCTTTTCACATTTTCTGTGCTCCAAGCTGGGGGTAGCAGGGGGAGGGCATCAGGAGCAGAGGTAGAGAAGCATGTGGCCGCCTGGACAAGCTTGCCCCCTCCCCTGACTTTCACAGTGTTCTGCAGCCCTGGCCACTGGTTCTGTCCCCCCAGGTCCTCGGTGCTGTGTTCCTGGTCACCTCCTGGGAAGGGCCGGCTTGTCTGCGGAGGCCTCGCTCCATGGCTGAGGTGGCCCCTCTGGGCACCAGGCTGTCTCACAAGGGGCTAGGGGTCTGAGGGGGGCCTGGGTGGGCGGGAGGGGACGGGAAGAGGGGTCAAGCTTTGTGTGACAGCCCTGCAGCATCAGGAGGAGAAGCAGAGGCCACAGCACTCCATGCAGATCTCCAGGCAGTCGGCAGACTCGCAGCAGGCGTCCAGGATGCCGCAGTCTAGGTCGCAGGGCAGGTCGCAGTCTGCACACTCGCCGGAGCTACAACAGCAGCAGCAGAGGCACGAATCCTCGGAGCTGCAGGAGCCACAGGTGGCACAGTCCAGGACGATGTTGCAGAGCGTCAGGAACTCGCAGAACAGGCAGGACAGGATGCAGTGGACGCAGCAGTCTGCAGGGCAGTGGGCAGTGAGTGATAGTTAGGGGCAGGGAGCCCCAGGCACTGTAGCCCAGTGGGGCTGCCAAGCACCTGCTGTTGCACTCAGCTACTGTAGTTCTTCCCACTGCTCCAGGAAGCTGTTTCTTTATAGGCAATGACCCGAGGCCCAGGAAGCAAGGGAAGCTCGTCAGAGTGAAGGTTGGAGCCCAGGCAGTGGGGATCAGGAGTCTCTGCTCTTAACCTCCCTCTGCTTATTTAACAAACACAGAGGTGAGGACATGTTCCAGGCACTGTTGTAAGTGTGGTGCATGAATTAAACTCTACTCCCCACTCCCTGCCTTTAGCCATCCCTCCCAACCTGCTGTCCAGAGGGAGCCTTTTAAAATGTTCAGTGAGCTAGAGGCATGGCTCAGGTGGGAGAGGGTTGCCTAGCAAGCACTCCCCACCCCTGACCTCTGGCCGCCTGTCTTCCCCAGGGGCTCGTTGTCTTCCCCTGTTCCACACATTGCTCTACACGATCACATCTCACACCCCTGTGGGCTCCACCGGCTAACCATCTGGATGGGGTAGCTCTCTTCACATGCAGACCTAGTGAAGTCACTATCTTGTTAAAACCCCCTATTGCCCTCCAGATCCAGTCTGGGCCGTCCCACAGCTCCACCCTGGCCTGGAGTCTCACGTCCCATCTCCTCACCTTGCACTTCATCTCCCAATCTTATTAACCACCTCTGCCTCTGTGCCAATGTCCCCTGGCTGGATCCTTGCCTCAGTCTAAGACTCCTCTTCCAGAGATGGCCCAACTCCCCTTGCCAGCTTTCTGTCCCTGTGTTAATACAAACCTCTGTGCATAGTTTTATCACTACACTTGTCATATCATACGGTGATGGCCCATCTGTGTCCCTCTCATGGAAGCTGTGTGAGGACAGGGGCTGCGTCCCACACACAGCATACACTCAAAGGCTATGTTAATTAAATGAATACCCTCCTCCTCTGTCACACATAAGACCATTGGTTTCAGAACACGTTAAGTACAAGTGTGGACAGTGAATCTGTTTGCAGGTGAGTGGACCAGGGTCCCCCAACATGAGCAGGAGTGAAGGTTCGGCAGCCCCTGAGCTCCAGGCAAAGAACTGGTGCCTGATAGGGCAGGCAGAGGGGCTAGTTGCCCCTGGTGGCCTGATGGGATCTTTGTGATACGTGAACAATGGCTAGGTGACAGATCCAGGTCCTCCAACCTCCTACCACACCTTGCAAGCCCACCTTCCTCCCCCAAGTTAAGATAATTTTATTCTGCTTTTACTGAAACGGTGGGCCACTCCTGGAGGAAAATTTCTTTTGGTGCTGGGGATGGAAATCATGGCCTTGTGCAAGCTAAGCACACACTCTTCCACTGAGCGACACCCCAGTCTCTCAGGGACATTTTCTGGTTCCACAAATGATTTAAGCAGGATCAGCCCAGGTGGCTCCATTCCTAGGAGAGCAACTCTAGGACAGCAGGGAGAGGGAGGGGTTGGCCTTGAACGCCTGTCTGCCTCACTTTACCCAATAGGTGTGCTTTGCAGGATTTGAAGGCTTGAGCAGGCATTGAGGGCTTGTTAGGACCCAGGCTTCTGGGCCCTGCCCTAGAGATTCGGATCTGGTAGGCCTGGAGTTCTGAGTTTCTAACCAGCAACGTGGTGGTGGTGCTGCTGCTGCTGGCTGTGGGTCAGGCTTTCAGAGGTTCCCTTGGGGCAGGGACAGGATGGGGGTGCATGGCTGCTTACCTTCCTGCGCCTGGAGCGGGATCTGGGAGGAGGCCGATTTAGTGCTGCTCTTGCTTTTCTTGCTGCCCTGGCTGGCCAGAGATGGGTGTGTCTGCAACTTCCGGTGGGACTTGGGGCCACCCAGAGCACCATTCCCCGCCTGCCTGCCACCACCCAGCTCTGAGGGGTGACCAGAGCCATTTGGCAGTAATGGGGTACAGCCCAAGGGGTTTCCTTGAGGCTGGCCTGCAGAGATGAAGAGAAAGGGTGATGGGGACAGGGTGGGACCACCTAGGGCCCCCCTCCAGCTTCGCTGTAGTCTTGCCTGTTCTTAGGGGCACCACAGGGCACCTAGCTAGGCTTGTCATCTGCAGATGGGGAAACTGAGGCCCAGAAGGCAGAACTGACTAGCTCAGAGTCACACCATGAAATAACAGACTGCCTTCTAGCCCAGTGCTCATTCCAGAAAAAACAGAGGTGTGTATGAAGAGCCTGGACCCCACTTTCTTAGCCTACATGAACCCATTCTCCTGCTTGGGATCCTAGGATTTGGGCTAGGCTATGGGAGTGAGGGGCAGGGATGAGTTGGTTGTGGGTGTGTGGGGGAGGGGGGAACAGCAGTGAAGCAGTTAATCTTTACCTTGGCTGCTGCCAAGCCCCCAGCTGTTTTTGCCCTTCGTGTGCTGGGTGATTTATTGGAAACATCTGTTTGGAGACACTCGCCTGGCCCTGGACTCAGGGGCTCCTCACAGCAGCCCCTCTATCTCCTGCTCCTTCCCTGTAAACTTTCAGCCCTCTGCATCCCACCCTGCCTGGCCTCTGTGGGCAGCTGGCAGTTTTCAGAGGGGCCTTTGGGGTTGGGTGAGAAGGGAGAGAAGGGAATAAGCTGGTGGGAGATCCCCAAGGCCGGGACCATCATCTGTGTCAATGGGGTACAGGGAAGTTGACCTTGGGCAACCCCCCCTAAGACCAGTCTCTTCCCAGACCTCACTCAGAAGTAGCTCTACTGGATGGCTCGGTTCTGTTCTCAGGAGGTGAGGGCAGGTGTATGTGCTGGTCAGAGCAATGAGACCAGGTCACAGAGCTCTGGAATCCCCTAGCTCCTCCTCCAGGACTCCATGAGTCCTGGGCAGGGTCCTCTGTAATCATGGGTTGGGATCTGGACCCCTGACTCCCTCCAGGCTGGCCTGCTTGTTTGACTTTTACAGGAGGGAGATGTCTGGGAACGCTAAATGCTCAGAGGAGAGGAAAGGGACTTGGGTCTTCTAGTAATGATAATGGGCCCAACACAGAGCACTGATTAAGTACTTGCTGCATGCCAGCCACTGTTCTCAGTAACTGCTAATTTTTCTCTCACTGACTCTTTCTGGTAGAACAGCACCTTTCTTTTACTGATAAGGAAACTGAGTTCTAGAGAGGTATGGTAAGTTGCCCAAAGTCCCACAGCTAGTGTCAGAGGTGGGACCAGCCTGGAGATTAGCAGCCAGACTTAGAGGGCAGAGAGGCTGGGTGCCCAAGGGATGGGGAATGCACTGCTACCATCAAACGGTCACTACTCATAGGTAGGACTTTATATGTTTTGAACAGTTATTAGGTTCCGGGCAGAGTACTAAAGACACACAGTAATTTCTTTAAGCATCACGGTAGATCTACAATTGAGCCCCATTTCTCAGATGAGAAAACTGAGACCCAGAGAGGGTAAAACTTGCCAAAGGTCCCACAGCTAGGAAGCAGAGGAGGGAGGGCAAGGAGACTGGGAAGGAGAAGCCCAGGACAAGGTGGGAATAGGGGAGACAGGGCTCTTGCAGAAGCTCCATGCTGCGGGGTGAGGTGTGACTGGGGCCTACATCTGGTAAACAGGGGTAAGGCCATGGGAGTGGCCAGGCCTGAATCATCCTGGCCTCACAGAGTAGTCTGGGCTGAGCCCTTGGCCAGCCTGGGTAGCCCTTGCCCTGCTGCCTAAACATGGGCACACTGGCCACAGGGCGGGAGCATGTGGTAAGCCCAAGGTCGTGGAGGTGCAGCAGACACAGAGCTTGCCTGTGGCCTTGGCTGTGGGGTGGCAGAGGGGATGGAGGTGGGGGTGGTGCTGAGTCACAGAGCAAACACTTGGGGCCATAGACACAGGAGCGTCTGTCCCACTCCCACCCAGGCCCCCTCCTCCGTGGCCGTGGCACTGACCTCCTTCTCTCAGTTCTGCAGGGCGTGTCCAGAAGGCTGAGGACACCAAGCTAGCAGCACTCAGTAACTGACTTCCCGCATGCCTCAGCTGGAGGCGGCTCCCTGCTCATGGGACCAGCAGGGCCAAGCATGCATAGCAAAGAGTGCTGGGTCAAACCTCAGTGCCAGCTTGTGCCCAGGCTGGGCTTGCTCCTTGTGACTCTGTTTCCTAGTCTGTAAAGTGGGCTTGGTAATAGCTAACCTGCTGCCCCACTGTAGGCTGAGTTGAACACATGAGCTCATTCAAAGAAAGTTGGAAGGAAAAAATGCGTCCCAATTTGGGTGATCTTCATTAGTTATTACAAAAGTGATCCCCTCGGCCTCTTCCCCTGCTCGAGAGTGAGGGGACGAATTCCTCCCGCCGCCCCCAGGACTCCTTGGAGACCTCAAGGCAGGCCTGGGAATGGAGCTGAATTTTACTCCTTACTTCCCAGAGCAACTGGGGGCTTCCTTTTGCCCTGAATCCCTAGAAGGGTGGGGCTGCATCAGGCTCCAGCTCCTGCTCCACCCAGCCCAGCTCCCTGCAGGAGGCAGAGGCACCTCTTTCCCTCTGAATAATCACATTGTCGGGGCCACGGACGCACAGTGACAGCATCTCAAGCCTTCCACTGCCCACATTGCTACCCTCAAGGTCCTGGGCAAGAGGGGTGCCCATGGGTGCCCATTGCATTTTTCACAGCCCATCTGGGTTGGATCCCCTTGGGCAACTCTGGCAAGTTGCCACCCAGTCCCTGGTCCCCCTACAACTCACATGTCACAGCTTCTGTGGGGACATCGAGGTCAGTGCTGTCCGGAGCCTGGGGAGCCCCAGGGCCACTGCCTTGGGACATGGGGGGTGCCTCTTCCTCCAGGGAGCCCTCCTCTGATGCTGCTTTGGCAGGGTGAGCACATCCTGCTTCTAACTCCAGCTCAGGTAGGAGGGGCAGGGTCTGGGCTAGGGAAAAGGACAGATGACAGACAGATGACTGACGTTCATTTCCCTGGTACCCTCCTGTGTGTTCAGCTCTGGGCCCCAACCCACAGCCCAGCATGCCCTGGTCTTTGTACCAGTTACCCAGCCCTTACCCCATCTGGCAATGGCGCTAGACTCCAAAATAGAAAGGTCCCAAGCTATAACCAATGTGTGAGCAAGGGTATGCGTGTCTGTGTGCACACATGTGACCATGCATGAGTATATGTGTGTGGTGTCAGGAAAAAGGGCCACAGACATGCAGTATAAAGGGAAAGAGGGGGGGAGCAAAAATAACACGGAGAGAGAGAACACACAGCTGGTCGGTGAGAGAGAGAGAGAGAGACACGCTTGCAGAGTGACAGGGAGAGAGAAAGACTCAGAGGGACAGGGAAAAGTGGAAGCCAAGAAGAGATTTAGTATGGAAGGCATGGGAGATTAGTGACCGACAGTGGGGAGACATGCTAGCACTTGAGTCAGTGGTAGAGAGAGATAAGGATGACAGGGGCAGAGGCAAGGGAGAAGGGTGTGTGAGACAGAGAGGGCTACAAGGCCCCGACATGGAGAAACCGGGTCAGAGACAGAATGATGGTCGTGGCCAGAGGAGTGAGAGGAACCTGGGTGGTGAGGAGCAAGGAGGGGCCCAGGCAGGAAGGGAGACCAGGAGACAGCCCGGGAGCCCTGGGGAAGAGGTGAACCGCAGCCACGTGTAATTATAGTGGTTCTGGGCAGGGTGGGCGGAATGCAGAAATGGAGCCACCTTCAAACCACAACTCCCCAGGCGACAGGACGAGGGCCACTGGGCTCAGAAGAGGTGATGGGGGGATGGGAGATGGCAGAAGGAGGCAGAAAGCAGTGGTCTGAGAGCCCACAGCCTCAGCCATTGGGCACAGGGAGGCCTGGGGGTGAAGCCAGGGGTCACTGTAGCAACCACAGGGTGCAACTTCCTCTCAGCAGACCCCGGGCTGCACTGTGCAGCCACAGCAGGGATGACAGGGGCCTCAGTGCATGGCCTCCCCATTAACCTCTCCCCTCATGCCTTCCATGCTGGGAGGAGGAGAAGAGAGACAAAAACAAGAGTCTTGGAGAGATTCAGAGAATAAAGGGCCTGGGGAGGCAGAGCCACACAGAGCGGGCAGAGAAAGATGGAGGGAAACCGCAGTGAAGCCCAGAGAGAAAAAGCTCACCCCCACCCCCAGCCCATCCATACCCCACAAAGAGCCTGACAGAGACAAAGAATGGCGTTGTAAATGGAAATGCATTCAATCACAGGGAACAGAGAGGGCTTCCAGGTGTCCTTCTCTGAGCAGGCTCCAAACTAGGGGGAAGGAGGGATGAGAACAGAGGGTGATAATTAACGGATCAATTAAAGTTGGGTGCACAGATCTGGGGGATGGGTGCTGGAAGCAGGCCAAGGGGATGATCCAGTGGCCCAGCTGCCTCCATTCCTGGGCTCTGAGCCTGCAACCCTGAGGATCCCTGTTCCAAAGACCCTCGCCCCCTCATGACCAGGGGGACAGGGGTCCCAGAGGCCTACCTATGAGGATACCCAGAGGATACCTACCCAGAGGATAGGAGGGCCAAGCGGGCATGCTCCCTCCTGCCCAGGGCAAACCACATGCTCTGCCTGGATATGGGAGCTGGGGCAGGGAGGAGGAGCCGGGGCTCCTGGAGGGAGCCTTCCCAGGGTGTCTTCCCAGTGCCCACAATTGCTGCCGGCAGGGGGCGGTGGTGGTGGTGGTGGTACAGGTTTTCTCCATCCCTGCCACCTGGATTAACCACAGAGAAGTCCAGTGGCTCTTGGCAGGTCACAGGAACAAGAGGGAGCAGGTAGCCATGGCAATAGGCAGAGAACACTGGCTGCTAGATGAGCTTCTGGAGCCCCTGGTCCTCGTCAGCTCAGACACGACTCTTGATGGCTAAGACCATGTTGGCATGAAGACAGAGGCTGGGGGCTTGGGTTCTAACTTCCAGGAAGGAAGGGGCTTGCCCAGCTCTGCACCCCCGCAGTGGAGGCATCTCCTTAGAGGCCCTGAGTTGACCTTCCCATGTAGTTTAATGAAAGACGCCTGAGCAAGGAGCTGGACGAGCCAAGTCTCGGTTGTTACCAGTTACCAGCTTGGACAAGTTACCAGAATGTGAAGGGGACCCTAATGCTCACTTACCCCTCAGAGTTTCAGGGAGCAAAATGCACGGTAGTGCCCTAGCATGCAGGGTCATTGAGGACCACTTCCATTTACCCACTCATCCACCACTGCTTCTTTCCTTCCCTTTCCCTCCCCTTTCTTTCCCTCAATCTCCCTCCTCTTTTCTTTCCTCCCTTCCTTTTTTACCCTTCCTTCTTTCCTTCCTTTCTTCCATCCATCTTTCCCCCTCCCTTCCTGTCTGCTGTCAGCTCTGATTGGATATGCCAGAATAAGAAAAATCAGGCTACTGCTGAAGTTCTCTGTCAGGGTGGAGTGGGGCTGTCACCATACACCGAGGGGCAGCAAGCTGCCAGGTGTGGTGATGCATGCCTGTAATCCCAGTGCTCAGAAAGACGGTGAGTTCAAGGTTAGCCTGGGCTACTTAGTGAGATTCTGTCTGAAAACAAAGCAACAAACAAAACAAAAAACCAAAACATTAGAGCATCTGTTAAAATTGAGGAAGTACAAAAGATGGGCATCTAGCCCAGGTATGTGGCCAGGAGGCTTCCTGGAGAAGGCAGTGCCCACACTGAGTGTTGGACAATCATCAGTAACAAAGGGGAATGTTAAGAAGAGCAGCGGGAACCTGGGTAGTGGGAATGAAGGGGAACCTCATGGTGTTTGGTGGTGGTGGTACTGGAAAGCCTGGGAAAGTAGCTGGGCACAAGAGGCCTCAGGATCACTTCCCAAGCTTTTTCCTGAGGTTACCAGGGTGCACTAGGTAACACTGTCAGTTCTGTAGTACACAGAGCCAAGATCCTTGCTCCTTTGACTCTCAGGGTTAGAGAGGGAAAAAGGCAAGAAAGAGGGTTTAAGGAGACTGGAGGCCCCATCCCAGTACTCCTCACTCAAAGTGTCACTCTCTCCACTCTCCTAAGTCACCTACAAGGCTGGTGATCTTGAATTTGCTGGGAATAGAAAACTATAGGAAGCCCAGACCAAGGCCAAGGAGGCCCAACCTGCAGGAATCTTGCCATTATGGAGTGAGTCTGAGACCTGGGAGGGAAAAGGAAGAAGAAAAGTTAAGTCCAGTGGTCTTGGCTTGGACACACAGAGCCAGGACAGGCAGCAGTAGAGGTGAATGAACCATGGGCCCAGAGACAGGTAGGCAGAATCAGAAGGAAGAAGCAGCAGTGGGAAGACCTAGTCTGTGAAGAAGACATTGCCCCAGAGTTCGCAGACATCAAGACACTGATGGTGGGACAGTGCTTGCCTGGAGTAGGTGGAGCAGAAAAGCCAGGCCAGAAGTGGGTCAAGTGCCCCCACAAGGGTTCAATTTTTCTTCTGTGGCCGAGAGATGCCACTGTCCAGCCTTGGAGAGAACATCTTAGAGCATCTTCTGAAAGGTGCAAGTATGGAGTGGGTCGAGGGAAGGAAGGCATGGCCAACAGAGGCCAAGAGGGGCAGCTATGTGGATGTGCAATTTATTTTTATTTAATTTTTGGCAGGACTGGAGTTTGAACTCTAGTCTTTGTGCTTGAGAAGCAGGCACTACCGCTTGAATCATGCCTCCAGCCTTTTTTTATTTTTTCTGGTAATTTTGGAGATAGGATCTTGTTTTTTGGCCAGATGGTCTGAACCACTATCCTTCTATTTTAAGCTTTCTATACACCACCATGCCCTGTTTTTTCCCCCATTGAGATGGGGTCTTGCAAACTTGTTTTGCCAGAGCTGGCCTGGAACTGCAGCCGTCCCAATCTCAGCTTCACAAGTAACTAGGACTATAGTGTGAGCCACCAGCACCCAGCTTGGACGTGCAATTCTTCTCCTGCATAAACACTGCTGAAGGGGTGAACAGGGTGGGGTAGAAGTCTCCAGTTGGACCCTATCCTTCTGTTCACCAGCTGCATACCTCCTCCACCTGACCAGAGTAGCACCCTTTTCTAACTTGCACAGGGGCACCAAACATACTAGTAGCATCTTTGAACAGAACCCTGCACCCATTAAGAAATACAGAAAGGCAACAGCCCTATGGCTTCAGCACACTTCTGTTCTTGGAACATGGGATAAGGTTCTGGTCCATGCCCTGAGTTCTAGAAAGACAGCCAGCCCCTGAAGGGAGTGGAAGGGTCATATTTAAATCCATAAGCCCAGGAGGCAAGACTGAGAAACTCATACCCACAGCAGGGACTTTGAGGGCCTTCGCTGCCTGATGAGACATTGTCTTAGGCCAAGAAGGAATTAGGGGGCCTATTACAGGTAGGATGGGTTCACCCCAAGCCTGGACAGTGCCCATGTTTTGGAGCTCCACGGCCTTGTCCCTTAAGACCAGCCCCCCTCTGTTGTCTTTGTGGTCAGTGGATCTGGGTTTCTCCCTTGGCTCTGAGCCTCTCTGGAGAGAAGTCCAGGACTTCTGGTCAGAAAGTGGTAGCTGAAACTCCCCACTTCAGTTTCTGTTTAGCCAGGTATTCAAGGCCTCCATTGACATCTTCAATCAATGAACAGAGGTACTGAACTCCAGGCAGCCTGTCCATGGCCCTAGGCCATCATCAGGCCTTCTCACAAATCCACCCATGCTTATATTATTTTTTCTTTCTTTTCTTTTTGGTAAGATTGGGGCTTGATCTCAGGACTTCATGCTTGCAAAGGAGATGCTCTTCCACTTGAGTCATATCTCCAGTCCATTTTGCTCTGGTTATTTTGGAGATGGGGTGTCCTGAACTATTTGCCTGGGCTGGCTTCAAACTGCAGTTCTGATCTCAGCCTCCCAAGTAGCTAGGATTATAGGCGTGAGCTACTGGTGCCAGCTCCTATGTTGTTCATCTTGGCCATGCTCACATCAGCCCATCCTTCCTGGCTCATCCTTTTGCCTTCTTTGACCCTCCCCCCTCCCCAATCACCAACCATTCTCTAAGTGGCCTAGCTGCTGAGAACTCAGCACCTGTGTCCTCCTTGTTAATTTGAACTCAGTAGTGAAGTGCTGGCTCCTGGTTGAGACTGAACAGCCCTCTCCACCTCTCTCCCTTGGGGTGATCAGCTTCACCTCTGCACCCTCAGCAATCAGTAAATGTATGTGAGTGAGTTGGAGTTCAGAATGCCCCAGTCAGGAGAGGGAGAGAAAAGAGGATTAGGTTTACATGGGGTCCTGAGCCCCAAGAAGGCCCAAGCAGGTGGACTCCTTTGATGTACATGTAGGTTCATGTGAACGTGGACCTGCTAGTCACCATCCCAGGCCACCAAGCTGAGGACTGATGAGGCCCTGAGCTGCCAGTTAGGCTGCATGGAGCTGTTTTATTTTAGGTCCAAAGGCTCCAATTCCCCAGGAAATTCAATTTAGAGCCACGTGCAGGAATGTGACACCCCAGTGCCAGGCAGGAATCAGCTTGTGGATTAGGGAGCCAGGCTCTTGGGGCTCCCAGGGATGGGTGGGGAGGAGGCCACTGGGAGAGCCAAGGGTGTGGGGGCTTGGTAACCTGCCCTAACCAGAGCTGCCCTGAGTCCCCTTGTGCCCTGGCCCTGTCTGCATCTTGGGCAGCTGAGGGAGGGGACTGTCTTGCCAGCAGGGCCCCTGGGGGTGGGCAGTGGTATGGCCTTGCTGTTCTGTCAGCACCCGGGGAGTGTGGGGGATTCTGGTCTCGGATTCAGGCGTCTGTAGGGTTTTGGCTAGGTCTCCTGCGGTTTGGGCTTCCTGGGCAGCAGGCTGTTTCTCCCAAGGCAGCAGCAGAGCAGGGTCTAGTGTTATGAAAGCCACATTGTCTGGCCCAGTTCAGACTGGGGAGGGGGCTTGCTGGGGCACTGGGGAGCCTCAAATTACAGACCAGGGCCTACTCCTCCTAGTGGCTTGCCCTACACTCTGGAGCCTGCCTTGAGCACACTTTGCCCCCTCCTCTGCTGCTGGGCGGAGAATAGGTCAGGCAAGGGAGGGGATCTTGGAAGGAGGTATGGAGGAGAGAAGAAAAAAAGGATAAGGGGAGGAAGAAATCATGGAAAAGTGGAGGTGGGAGAGAGGCCAAAAGGGACAGAGAAGCTTCCCAGACACAAAGATTTCCCAGGCCCCTCTCCCTCCAGGCTGAACGAGAAAGGGGCTCAGAGAAACTCATTCCCCAGAAGTCCAAGTCCTAGTTCCAGGGGCTCTATTCCAACGGCAGGGACTGTAAGGGCTGTGAAGATGGACAGCAGACATGATGGTCATCTATGAGCTGGCCACTGGCCAGCACTCCCATTGGTCCTCACTCCCTGTCCCCGCCCACCTCCACAGCTGTGGGGAGCCACAATAGGTAGCTAGATAACTGCATCCCTCTCCAAACAGTGAGCTAAGCCCTGGTAGTGAGGAGACTGAGATCAGAGAGGGGAAGGCACTTGTCTAAGGCCACTCAGGGAGTTAGTACCAGAGGCCCAGGAGTGATCTTCATTATTCAGAGCAAGAAAGACAGGAAAAGGGCTGGGTAGGACAAAGGGAGAGCATCAGGCTGACCTAGAGGATCAGAGTCCAGAGGATGGATTCAAGTCAGGAATTCAGGCCTACACTCCTGCACCCTGCCCCCATCCCTGAACAAATCCCAGATGTGCCTAACTTAGCTGGGACCCTGACACCCATTGTGAGCCTCAGCAGAGGCTCTGTACAGTGAGAGGAAGAGCCATGGCTGTAACTCAAGGAGTTGCAAGCCCTCCTTGGTTAAGGAGGCTCCTTAGGAGAATCTGGGTATGTTAGACACGCCGTGTGGGTAGGAGGCATTTTACTAGGTGTGAACACTGGTAGAAGTGTGTGTGTGTGTGTGTGTGTGTGTGTGTGTGTAGGGGGAGGGGAGAGCGAGCGAGAGTGTCTGCAGGGTAGGTGTGGTAGGAAGAGAGGGCCAGGGAGGGGAGACGGCAAGAAGGAGGGGAGGGGCTGGGTCCTGTAGCCACTAGTGGCAGACAAAAGTTTTCGGGAAGCTCTGGACTCTGGTTGGGCTGGGGGAAGGGAAGGAGAGAGACTCAGACACCCCTACGCCACCTAAGGCCCCCATAAATATTTACACACTGGGCAGAAATGGTTGGGACACAAATCCCAGACGGACAGACACTACTCTGTGTGTGTGTGTGTGTGTGTGTGTGTGTGTGTGTGTCTGGTGTTGGAGTTGGGGGGAGTTGGAGCCAACTTGGCGCAGCTGCTGCCTCTGTTCCGGGCCCTGCCTCCTCACCCCGGCCCTCTACTCTCCTTGGACCGGGTCCCCATACCCGACTTCTCGCCTCCACCCCACCCAAGCTCCGCGGAGCCGTCTCCTCGCGTCTCAGGGAGGAGGGAGATAATTAATATACCCGCTGCGCACTCCGCTGCCATCCACCTTCGCTCTCCATTCCCGATCCTACCTGGGTCGGGAGCTGCACTGGGGGCTCCATGGGACGCGTCGCAGCGAGAGGGGCGCTGGCCGCTCACCTGGGACATCTGCCCGGGACCTGCGGAAAACAGGGCTCAGCGGGCGGGGGCCGACCTCCCCCGGGAGTGTAGCCGGATGGGGGACAGGTGGGGGGCTCCGGCGCCGACACGCGCCTCCCCCCGCCGGCACGGCCCCTGACTCACTGGTGCAAGCTGCGCGCTGCTCTTGTCCAGCCGGGATCACCGCGCCAGGGGCCCCATGCGCGCCTGCGGTCCCCTCCCCTCTCACTAGTTCTTCTCTCCCATTTCGGCGCCAGCTCGCACCCACCGCTCGCCCCTTCCTTCTTCCTTCTCTGGCTCCAGCCCCCTCGCTCCTCCCCTGCTTGCTTCTCCCCCTCCCTTCGGTCCTGGCCCACCCTGTCCCCGCCCCCTCCTCGCCTTCCCAGTCGCACCCCCCACCACGTCCCCTCCCCCGCGCGGGACTAGGCGCTGCCTGGCCGGACACGTCTGTCCGCGGGGCGTCAGAGGCCCGAGCCCCCACAGGAAGCCGGCTCGGCTCGTTTCCTCCCCGCGCCCTGAGCCGGGGCCCCAGTCTCCCCAAATCTCCGCCTCCCGAGGCCCAGAGCACAAGGGGCTGCACAAGGGGCTGCGTGTTTTCCTTCTGTCTTCAACTCTGTAAAAGTTTGCAGAAAATCAGAAAAGAGAGAGAAACCACAACCATTCGGGCCAATTGTCTGGATAAATTGCAGTCTCAAATATCACTGTCCCAAAGATGGGAGCGATCCTCTGGCACCCTTTGCCCATCCCCTCGGTCTCCGCTCCGGGTACTAAGTCCGGTGCCCGGGATCTGGGGCTCGGAGACCACAAGTCCAGCCGGCGAGAAACTGTCCCTCCGAGAATCCGCCTAGTGACTATCCAGCCTGGCGACTGTAACAGCCCAGAGCATCCCTCGCCCATCCCCACCTCCACCAGCTGGACGTGAGAATTCCTGCCAACAAACCCACCCTGGAAGCAAAGAGAGCTTTTCCCGGAATTCAGCCCTCTTTGGGGCTCCAGACAGGAATCCCAAGTCTTCGAACACCAGGGTGCGTGCAGAAAGACGAGGGCGGGGCCAGGCGGGTGCCACATCTGGAATTGTGAGCCCTCGTGGTAGGAAAGAGCCGCCGCCAGGCAGTCCAAGGGGGCTCAGGGACCCTCAGCGTGACCCCGGGACCCGATCCCCGACAAACGGGGAGGGCATGGAGTTTGTGGCCAGCCAGGTGGGGCTGGGCGTGCCCATGCGGCGATCCTAAGGTAGGGCGGCCCGCCGGGGTGTCCCAGACGCACTTGATCTAGACAGCCCCCAGCACCAGGGCCTGCGAGGACCAATTAGGGAGGCGCCAGGCCACCTCCCCTAGCCCTGCGTTACAGTCACGGCTGGAAGTGCGGAGCTGGGACGCTGGGGACCGGGCGAGAGACTCAGAGTTTCTCCTTGGTCTCTCCTGAGCCCTGGAAGTCACTACTTACCGCGTTCGCAGGACCTCTGGGCGCCGTCGGGGCCAGGACCAGCGTGGCCCCCACGGCGCCGAGGCACTCTCTCCACCCGCAGCCACGTCCCTGCGATGGGCCCGGGTGGCTTCGGGAAGGAGGCGGGACGGGCGGGACAGAGGGGGTCCGCCCTGGAGGCCGGGCTGCTCGTTGTGGGGGCCTGGCTGGGTGCCCCGGAGCCTGCTGCGAGCAGGCTGCTGTCTGGGAGCGCTGGAGAGTTGGGGCGCACTCCCCCTTCCTGGCACCGCCTGAGTCACTGGGACGCGCCCTGGCCAGGGCTTGGCGGCTGCTGCATTTTTCCCGGCTTACCTGAGCCTGTGGGCTGGGCCTCGCCTGCCTCCAAGGGTAACCCCATGGTCCCTCTCTGTCCTTTCCCGAAAATGGAGTCTCTGCCCCAACCACAGACCTCAAGGCGGCACCACCTTCTCCTCATATTTCTCAGTTTTAGTTCAGGGTCCCTAGGACCCACACAACCCCAATTCTGAAGCCACTTGTGTGATCGCTTAAGTCCCCCAAATCTAGCTCAGTATTAAAATCTGTTTTATTGGAAATGTAAACTATATTCTTAATTTAACCCCAAATGCCGGTTACACAGGTGCGGCCTGTGTAAGGATTAAGTTTACTGAACGTTGGAGGGACATGCACTTTGTGGCATACTGGACGAATTTAAACCCAACACCCGTGAAAATGAACTTTTCACGACAGAGCCCAATAAACTGCTCAGTAGGGGAGTGAGCTTTGACATGGAACTAGACTTTGGATCCCAGCTCCGCCAACCACTGTGCTTCTTTGGGGGCGTCCCTGTGCCTCTCCCAGCCTCAGAAGGGAGGCACATTGGGGCCCTCAGTGTGTAGCCCAAAGGCCTCATTGTGACCAAGGACCAGGGCCATTTTAGTGAGGCACTAGCCGTGGGTGCACAATTTAGAGAGTGCCAAGACATGTAATATTTGAAGGCAATATTTTACAAAATGGGCAAACAGTAGCCCTGGTGGCCAGCTAGCTTTGTAAAGTTTATTGGAACCAGGGCCAGGATTAGGATGAATTGAGTGAGACAAAATCGTGCAGTTCAGGGTTGAATCTTGACTTTATTTAAAATGGTGACATTTTGTCATCTTGAGCTTTTTTGCAGTTATTTTGATTTTAAACATATTGCAGGAAAGCATTTTTTTTTTCTTAGTGACTAAGGGTTTCTTGTTTTATTTTTTGTTGTTGTTTTTGGTACATGCCTGGACCAATGAGCTGTATCCCAAAAAAAAATCTGCTGAGGGGCCTTTTTTTTTTTTTCTCTCTTTATTTTGTGGTTTTTATTGTTGAATTTTTTTTGCTTGGTTGTTTTGTCTGGTTTTTTTTCTGAGACAAACTCTTAATAGGTAGCTCAGGCTGGCCTTGAACTCTACCTCCTCTTGCCTTAACCTGTGGAGTGCTAGAATTACAGGTGTGTGCCACCACACCTGGCTTAGCTGGGTTTTGTTGCTCTTTTAAGATTTGTACCTGAGCCAAGTGCCTCATTTACTCTAGGCTTCACAGGCCTCACCCTAGTCCCTGCCCTGAAGGACCTGGTCAGGATGCCTAGGTAAATAAAGGGAGGTCAAAGGTGCAACTGCCCCACCACCACACCAGGTGGGCTCTATACCTGAGCCCAGGCCTAGCTTTCCTGGGACCAAGTGGCTGGTACAAATACAAAATCCTTACAATGGTCTTCAGCCTCCATGTGCTGGGCCCTACCTGACTTAGCCTTCATCTCCCCTCATTTATTTCTGTGACACCAGGCAGCTTCCTCCGCCCCCTCTCCAGTGCTGGGGTGTCTAAGCCAGGCAAGTCAGGCAAAGGTTCTATCACTGAGCTACATCCCCAGCACCGGCTCCCCCCCTCCCCATTCTCATCTCAGGGCCTTTGCATTTGCTCTTTCTGCTCAGAGTGTGCTTCTAGATATCTCATTTCCTCTGCTTATGTCACCTTCTAAGTGAGGCCATCCTGGGCCCCTCACTCTGCCCCTCACATCAGTTTATTGTCCTTTGCAGATTTTTTCCATTATTTCCCCTGTTATGTGTTTGCCTGTTTTTTGGTGCAGTGATTTTCCTTGTCTGCTAGTATATCCCCAGAATTGTGTCCAGGTAGATCTTAGCATGTCTGTCCAGTGTTACAGGTGGGGAGAGGGGGCCAGAGAGGGAAGAACTTAATGCAAGTCAAGTGCAGTTAGTGGTAAACCTAACTAGATCCCAGGTTCCCAGAGTCCCAACTCAGAGCTCTCTCCTACCCCAGGGCTTATCTGCCACACCCACCCAGAGTCCTCTAGATAACCAAGGTGACAGTAAACCCTTACCCCCATGTGCTCCCAAAGAACAGCAGCCTATACCTAAGTCTCCCTTGCCCTCTAGCCATGAAGTACCCACCCAGCCTGGCTGTTCCTGCTGTGGTGCCCACCCTCTGTGTCCAGCACCATTCATGGTTCTTTCTCTACTTCCTGTCTCAGGCAGAGGCCAGCTGGCTGGGCTGGGTGCTGCAGCTGGACCACAGCTGTGGTCTCAGTGCCCTGGAAATGGGAGACAGAACCCTCCCAGAAGACGGGTGTGCTTTTTGTTTGTTTGTTCGTTTGAGATGAGGTGTCAGTGTAGTGCCAGGCTGGCCTCCAACTCCTGACCTCAGGTACTCCTCCTGCCTCAGCCTTCTGCAGATCTGGGATTGTAGGCATTGACCCCACACCTGGCATGGAGGGCAGATGTCTGTGTGTGGTGGGGGTTGGCTGCTGGGTAGGGATTAAGAGCCCCTTGCTCAGTTGGTTGGGGTGAGCCATGCCTGTGATCCCCGCTACTTGGAAAGATCATGGTTTGAGGTCAACCTAGGCAAAAAGTTCCTGAGACCACCCCCCATCTTAACCAATAAAAAGCCGGGCATGATGGTGCATGCCTGTCACCCCAGCTATGCAGGATACATAAATAGGAGGACTCGTGTTCCAGGTCTGCCCGAGCGTAAAAGCAAGACTCTGTTAGAAAAATAACTAAAGCCAAAAGGGCTAGAAGTGTGGCTCAAGTAGTAGAGTGCCTGCCTAGCAAGTGAGAGGCCCTGAGTTCAAACCCCAAGTACTGCTGGCGGTGGGGGGTAAAGAAGAAGGAGGGTAAAGAAGAATCCTTGATTAAACCGGGTGGGGTGGTTCATGCCTGTAATCTCGGCACTCAGGAAGCTGTGCCATCTTCCCTGGGGAGAGAGAGAGAGGTGGCTCAGTCATCACCGATCCTCCCCTCTGTTAGGATCACTTCCTCTTCACCCCTAGGACCAGGTATCAACTCTCCAGGTGCATAACACCCTACCCCAGTGGTCTTCAAAGCTTTGTTTTGTTTTGTAGCAATTCAACCTTATAACAATTGTAACTACGCCTGTTAGAATTTTCTAACGATGCCAGCATTTGACTTTTTAAAAAGATAAGCTTTATTTTTTTTTTAGAGCAATTCTAGGTGACAGCAAAATAGAAAGTAGAGTTCCTGTGCTCCCTTTTCTCTCACAGCTCCCCACTATCAACTTCGCCCACCAGACTGGTGCATCTGTTGTAATCAGTGGACCTGTGTTGACAGTATCATCACCCAAAGTCCAGAATTTATATTAAGATTCAATCTTAACAGTGTGCATTCTGTTTTGACAAATGTATACTGATGTGTGTCTACCGTTATGGTGGTTTTTAAAAATTTATTCATATGTGCATACAATGTTTGGGCCATTTCTCCCCCCTCCTCCCTACCCCCC